AAAGATTACAATAAATTAAAATTAGTAATTTAAAATATAGTAAATTATATTGAATTCTACTAAAATAAATAATTTAAATTAAATATTAAGATTTATATCTTGTCCTACACTTAACATCCCACGGTTGTGTTACTAGGGCTGTTAAAATGGATCAATGTTCGTGAACAACCCGTGTTCGACTGGATAAGAAATGAGCCAAACACAAATATATTTTTTGAGTCAATATATAAACGAGTCAAACACAAACAATGATATTTTTTAACAAAACAAACAAAAGACTAGCCTGGGCTCGCCCAAGCTCAGCCCGTTTACACCTCTAACAACTATGCGACTAGGATTGTCAAAATGACATTTTGTTTGCGAACAGTTCATGTTCAACTCTCTAATCAAATGATTCAAACATGAACAACTTTTTTTTTTTGTTCAAAATATAAATGAGTTGATCACAAACAGTGGTATTTTTTGACCAGCCAAACACGAGCTGAGCCCAGGCTCACTCGTGTTCGGCTCGTTTACAACCCTAACCATAGTCTTATGCCTACGCGCCATAGACTTGTGCCTCGGTGCCTAAAGCCCTACTTTAAAAGTGGCATGTCATACAAATAACTTAGAAAAAGGGTGTTAGCATTGTAGGGCCTAGGCCGTAGAGTTTAGTGCCTAGGTGCCATATTCTAGTGCCTAGGGACCAAGTCATTTATACGATTATAACTTTTAAGATGTGATTAAACCAGAGTTTTGTAGTGGTGATGTGTTAACCTTCTAATTATATTTTATTATCAATCTGGATGACTGATTAGTTAAATTTTGTTGTGATGTACTTAGGTGGGAGTAGACTAGAGGAACAATTAAGTTAACTCACACCGACTTGGAAGGATAGGAAAATTGCTTTTTGGTTAGTGCCAATGTAATGATAAATATTAAGTCCGAGGAAATTGACTTAATTTAATGAACTAAACCTACATGATTTCTAAACCTTATTAGACGCCCAAGTGGGAATAAAGAGGAGATCTGTTCATGATTGTCACCAATAAATTTCATCACATAGTTAAACTCAGAATCCTAAATATTTGATTTAGGGAAGAATTCTTTAATTGAAAAAAAATCTCACTGCATTCTCACTACTTTCATCTATCTTTTACTTTTTTCAAAAATTAGGAATATGAACTTTAAAATCATTAAATTTCAAATATTTTAGTTTAGACTTAAAACTAGAAGGCTAAAACTGTTTCGGAATTGGAAATTAATAACTTCCCCGTGGCATTGATATACAGACTCCAATTCTGTATATTACTTGTCCAACACTAATACTTACATGATTGTTGGTTATTCACAACATTTCGGGCATATCATACTATTAAAAGGGTGTAATACAAAGAGTGAAGTCACTCTCTGTGGCATGGTGTAAAGGTTGAGTAACTTTGTGAGATTAAGTGCGGGTGTCTGAGAAGATTGTGAGGGTGAGTGCGAGAAAAATAAGCTGTAAAAACTTCTCAGCTTTACGGCTGCTTCATCCTACAGAGCTTCTTCAACATGCAAAGCTTACACGACAATTATACAAAGGTATGATTCAAAATTTCTGATTTCATTAACTTTATAAAGCACTACAGAAAGAATATACTCCCTATAACATAATGTCAGAATTGGCTACATGCAGACGACAAATGTATAGTCCTGATTTCATCTGATGCACCTCCAACAAATCAAAGTTAGCATACCACTTTGGCCTCGTCACATTCTAGAACCCTAGAATGATAAAATGTAGAATTAAAATTAATATAAAATATTTTTCTTCCACTTAGCATAATCAAAGTTAGTTATCGTGTTTTTGAATACCACTTTGGGTCAGGCTCAGCTGGTGTTCGGTTATTAAAAAATATTACTGTTCTTAATCGATTCGTTTATATTTCGAACACAAAAAATGTGTTCGTGTTCAGCTCGTTTACTAGCGAGCCGAACACAAATTGCTAGTGAACAAAAAGTCATTTTGCAACCCTAATCACTCAACCGCAAGATGTTAAGGGTTGGGGCAATATTTAAATCTTATTGTTTATATTAAAACATAATTTAATAATTTATTCTATTTTTTTAATAAATAATTTTAATTTATTAGATATCTTTGTAGCCTTGTGTGTGTGTGTGTCTATACATATATATTATAATTGATGAGTAGTATATCGAGCTAAAATGAGCTAAATATGAACAAACAAATATTTGTTCTTGTTCGGCTCGTTTATATATCAAGCACCAAGAAAGTGTTCATATTCGGCTCTTTAACTTAATAAACGAATCGAACACGATCTGTTTGCGAATAACGAGCCGTTTTGACAGCCTTATATACCACACAAACTGCAATCTAGAAACCAATTTTTTTCTCTTTGTGATGATTCAAACCTTGAAAACTCGGTTATAAGATGGGAAAGGCAGCACTATTTGACTCAAAGTTCTTCAACCATCGTTGACCAAATAACGGAACTCAATTATAAATTTTCTTCATTGAAGTCAAATGCATTAATTCGAGTTTGAAGGAGAGCCACACGCTTTGACTCGGTCGGTCTTTTCCATTTTTAAATGTTTTGCAACACTAATTAATGTAGAAATATGGCCAAATGAAATGCAGTTGGGATCAATTATAATCAGATATAAATTAGCATGTAGGATAGATTTTAAAATTCATTAAATTTATTTGAAACCATTATTATAAATAATCAATTAATTTTTATCATTTATTCATTTTAAAACAAAATTTAAAATTATTAAAATACATTTTAATTAATTTATAGTAAAAAAATATTCACATAATATCTTGGATTAGAGGTGTAACACGAGCGAGCCCAGGTTCAGCTCGTGTTCGGCTCGTTTATATTTCAAGCTCAAAAAGTGTGTTCGTGTTCGACTCGTTTGCTTAGCG